AAAAATTAGTATAGAGTTCAAAACCAGTACTCAAGTTGTTTGAATGATTTGTTCGATTAACCGTTCGAACCAGTTGGCAGCCGACTCTCAATAAACCGCCACAAGTGTCATTTCGAGTTGGACTAGTATTTGGTTGGATGTAAGTCATTTTCCATTAAAAAAATTATGAATGAAGCCATTCCATAATTAGCTATTTTAAGTTCAATTTAAATCACTTGGATTGTGTCCCTTTTTTTTTACCATGAAAGGAGCTACATAGTAGAGTAACGGAGGAGAATCATTTGCCCTAGCTTTAACTAAACTAATTGATAGATGCACCAAAGTAACATCCAACTATCCTCCTGAAATTGACCCTTCCCCCTTCCCAAAGAGCACAAACCCTTCACCCCAATTTAATGCAGGGAGCTAAATATGTATTACTTTTTGCGTATAAAGTTTGGTGGAAATCTAGAGAAATTCCACTAAGTACTCCTCTCCCTCGGTTTCGAGTTTAGTTTATGTGGGTTGGTGACGAATTCTTCTTTAATATGGTTAATCGGCTAATTCAGTTCAGTTTTGTTTGTGGTCTGTTTCTCACTAATTTATGAAAATGAAAATCGTTGTCTATGTCAAGAGAATATGAGTGTTGCTTTGACTTCTCTTTGTTAACTTAGCTTCAACTTGACTGATCAGCTTTTGTTTGTGAGCTCAGTTGAGTTTGGCTTGCTGCATTCATGTGTGTACGTCAAAACATTCTTTAATTTTCGGGTTGGGCAGGCGAATAGACATGATTCCAGGGTCCTCCATTGCGAGTCTCCTTTACATGGTGATGGTATTTGGGATATATTTGTGTTTGTGAAATCGTAATGTACCAGTGTCGGACCAGAAAAATTTCATATCGAAATCTAAATGGTAGGCGGTCTTAGCGGTATGAAACCGTTGAAAGTTGGTAAGACTACAGTTTCATCACAAAATATCATACCATTAACTTTTCTGATACAACCTCCAGTATGGTTTCACGATGCTTTTGATATATAAGGGTTACAGACATATTTGTGCATCCAAATAATGTAAGTCACACATGGTCTTATGGCCAAAATGTTGAATTGAGTCATAGGTCACTTGTTGAAAGTCTGTTATATGAGCATGTAAATTTGATATCTAAGCATCACCAACTTCTCCAAATCTTCTCTTCTAATGATCGATCACAGCTGTGGCCTTGTCAGTTTTGTTGATGTATGTCCTCCATACTAGGGTCTTGTTGATGTTCATGATATATAAAAGCCACAACTACAATATAACATGCATAGTCCTTTTTCAGAATCAAGACGTGGGCCAAATGTTAAAAAATCACTATCTTTATCGTTACAAGGTTGATCTATTTTATACCGTTGCGGATATACAGTTATTAGAGCTTAATAGACACTTCGATGAGATTAACACAGAATTGCTATGTTGTGTGACATACTTAAATCTAGATGATTCATTTGCTAACTATGACAAGAAAAAGTTGTTGAAGCTTGCTACCTTTTATCTCATTGAGTTCTCCAAAGATGATATCTTACATCTTGACCTTCATCAAATAGATACTTAATTATATATTTGATAGGAAGATAGTTGAGAGGTTTGCATAATTAAAAGAAATTGTTGAACTTTCTAGGAAAATGGTTGTGTAAAAAAAACATCGAGTATTTTCGTTGGTGTATCAACTCATAAAATTGGGATTGTTGCTACATGTTGCCACTGCATTGTCAAAAGAGTAAAATTTTTTTTAAATGAACTACTTGAAGAACACACTTAGCAATTAGATATAGATGGGCGATGAAATCTTGAATAATTTTTTGATTGGTTATATTGAAACCAACATTCTTGATAATTTGGATGGTGAAATGTATTTTGGATAATATGAAAACAAGTTGTGGATTACTGCAAAGCGTTGCTATAAGTTATGGTATCATTTTTTTAAGCTGGATTATGGACCCACCTTAGTAAATTTTTTGACTATGCCACTATAAAAGTCGGTTAATCTGAGAAGCCAGAGTCAGTAATCTGAATGAGGAGACTAACTTGAACTGTGCTAATTGGAGGAGAGGCTTAAGTAATACCGATTATTTTATTCCCTAAATTTTTTTTTGGCCAAAAGATAATCGATATATTGATAAGAAACATAGATAGTTACACCCTGGAATTGAGCCAGACCAGAAAATTAAAAGAAAGACTCGTAGTCGGGTACAAACGAAGAGCCTTTCTAGCCACCAAGTGGGTTGCCCTATTACTACGCCGACCTACAAACCGGACAGAGAAACCTCCCATCGAACCAAAAACCCCCTACAATCTCCTCTAGGAGCGCCCCAACTCTACTATCCCTAGTATTTGTCTAATTAATCTTCTCAATAAGCACCTTGGTATCCCCCTCAAAGCGCACCTCTACAAACCCAGAGTCCCGACACTAGAGAATAGCCTCCCGAAGAGCAAGAGCTTCAGCAACCAACGGATCCTCGATGCCGGCAAACTGGAATCCTCTGGCTACAAGAATGTTCCCCAAGTGATCCTTCACCACCATCCCTCCTGCCGAATGGGAGGCTGTCATGGTAGCCCCATCCCACAAGCAGATCATAGGGCAATGTGGAACCACAACTTTCGGGGAGGCAGGACCTCCCTGAGATTTACCAACCGGCAAACTAATCCATTCCTGGTACTGCTGGTGGTACTGCCTCATCAAAGCCGGAATCCCAAATTGTTTACCTTCAAACACAACCCAGTTCCGGGATCGTCAAATTCGCCACAGGACAGACGTAACCGCCATGAACAAATGGTCCTGATGGATGATATTCAATAATCGTTTCAGGAACAAAGGGAATGTGTGTCGAGGCAATCCCTGGCCGAGATACTCAAACCCTGCGTAATCCCAGATAGCTCGTGCCACAGGGCACTCCAGGAACAAATGCTCTAAGGTTTCGGACTCAGCCCAGCAAACTGGGCAACAAGGGTGCACTTGGATTTTCCTCTCTATCAGAGCTTTCGTGGTAGGAAGGAGCCGATTTAAGATTTGCCAGAGGAAGACCCTTAGTTTCGGAGGAACTAGGGCCTTCCAGACGCGTATCCAACTAGGCCTATCCATCCAACTGACTGAAGAGCGCCACCGACCATCCTTTTTATCCAACTGGACTGCAAGATGGTAAGCTGATTTCACAGTGAAAACTCCATCCTGCGTGCCATGCCAAATAAGTCGATCCGCAACACTACCACGACGAAGGGGAATCTCTTTGATGATCCGGCAGGTGCGGGGGTCAAACCAACGGGCCAAGCCCTTGTCACACCAGGAACCCTCCTCCCTATTAATAACAGAAGCCACCTGCAAGACCTCATTAGCAGGCAACACACAGGGATTAAATGTAGGGGCCAGAGGATGCAGGCCCGGGATCCAACTACTCAGAAGAAGAGGGGTTGTTTGGCCATTGCCAATTTGCCAACGAAGGCCCTGGCTCAGCAATTGACGCCCGAACATGATACTCTGGCACCCCCAGGAAGGCCGGGACCGCGCCTGCGCCTCTAGGAATCCGCTCCTCGGAAAATACTTCCCTTTATACACCTGCACTATAAGCGAATCAGGCTCGTTTAAGATACGCCATCCAATTTTAGCCAATAGCGCCTGATTAAAGTGCTCAAAACGCCTAAAACCCATCCCTCCCTCATGCTTACTGCGACACATATTCCGCCAAGACATCCATCTCACCTTATCTTGGCCATTCTCCACCCCCCACCAAAATCGAGCAACATGTATATCCAATAGCTGGCACAGAGAGAGGGGGAGCTTGAAGCAAGACATAACATGTAAGGGTTGGGCCAAGGCCACCGCCTTGATTAAAGTCTCCTTCGCCGCCCATGACAAAGTGCGCTGCTTCCAGCCCTGTAACCGAGCAAGCAATTTCTCCTCCAAGTAACGAAACGTCGCCATTTAAGACCGGGCTATAAGAGTAGGTAATCCCAAGTACTTATCATGGACACCTACAGCCCCCACCCCCAGCACCTGGCCTAGGAACTCTTGATCTGGAATAGCAATGTTTTGCTAAAGCAAACCGCCGACTTGGCCAGGTTGACCCTTTGACCACTCAGCTCCTCATACTCCTGCATGACTGTGATCAGATTCTCACATTCCTGAAGAGTTCCTCGAAGAAACAAATAGGAGTCATCAACAAAGAACAGATGTGAGATTCGTGGGGCCCGAGGCACAACTTTAACTCCTTGCAGCTTCTTTTCAGTTATGGCTTTCCTCAAGAGGGCAGCAAACCCCTCCGTACATCATACGAACAAAAGGGGAGAAAGAGGGTCGCCCTTCCTAAGCCCACGGGAGGGCGCGAATAAATTTATGATGAATTTTAGTGGTAATTTGACTTCGTCCAAACTCCACTGGAGACCTGTTAAGTTTGAAGCATATGCATGAGCGGGAATTAGGTTAAACGTACTTGCAACACTACTACTGATCTGAACACCCAGTCTCACATTGGACTTCCATCCTCTAACGCCATTTTTCTGGCTTTCCGACTCTACATTGAGCCCCCTTCTTTATCAGCCTGCGCCGCTACTCCTGCTTTTTTTTTCTCTCCCGTCCAAGTTGTTTGACTTCTATTCTGTTTTTCCTTTCTGCACAGTGACTTCTTTTCTTTTCTCCCATCTCTCCTTCCGTATCTTTCCGTGCTCATCTATTTTGTCCTCTCCCACCATGTAAAAAATATTCCTGGAAATTCTTTTTTTTTCTCCCACCCATAACAAAGTAATGCTCCATGCATATCAGCATATGTTAATTCGACTCACACACACAGTGCCTTGTTGATTAAATTATTTCTTATTTACGGCTGCCGCTATTGACGCGCTGACGACGCACTTTCATCACTATAGCTAGTTCTCGTCTATAAATAACCCACTCCCACAAAACCCTTCTCCCTAAGCTCTCCATTACCATCCTCCTCTCCTTCACCATAAAACAACTGCCCGGCCCACCTTCAGCTCCCAACATGCCAATGCTGCCCAACCACGCGGGCTCGGCCCGGGCCCGAGCAGTGTGGCAGCGGTGCCTGGCCTCGGCCTTCCGGACCGCGCTGGCCTGCACCATCGTGGGCTGCGCCACGCTCTACGGGCCCGAGGCCTTCAAGCGGCAGGTGGCCTTCCCGGCCTTCTCCTACGTGACCGTGATTCTCATCGTGACCGACGCCACCCTGGGGGACGCGCTGCGGGGGTGCTGGCTGGCGCTCTACGCCACGGTCCAGACGGTCTGCCCGGCCGTGGTCACGTTCTGGATGGTCGGGCCGGGCCGGTTCAGCGGGGCAACCATTTCGCTGGCCGTGGCGGTGAACGCGTTCGTCGTGGCGGTGCCGGAAGGGACCCACGTGGTGGCCAAGAGGATCGCGTTGGGCCAGATTGTGATCATCTACGTGGTGGGATATATTAACGGGGCGGAGACGCAGGCGGTCATGCATCCGCTGCATGTGGCGGCCAGCACCGCCGTCGGCGTTGTGGCGTGTGTTTTGGCTCTGTTGCTGCCGTATCCGAGATTGGCCTGCTGGGAGGTAATTATTAATTAAATTAAACTCCATTTTAAAAAAATATATATTATCTCTCTTCTAATATTCTTTTTGTCAGAGTAATAGTAACTAGAGTTGAGTACGAATTTGTTTAGAAATGTCACTCCCCATATCTTCACATTTTCAATGGTATGTGTTACATGAGTTAAATGATTTTAATGTCATTCTAGAACCAAGAAGTCTAATTATTTAAATAAGGAGAAAAACAGAACAAAACAGACAGTAATTAATTTATTATGATTCTTAAGATCAACCTACAAAAATGAGTATGTGACATGCAAGGTGTTCTGGTAGTAGGATTTGGCCATCGAGATTTAATACTTAATCGCTGACATTTGTCTAATGTAATCAACTGATACAAAATTACGATTAATTCACTATTTTTCTAATCACATATTGGCCCATATACGGGTAATTATGAATAGATAGTAAAATTTAGAAACATTTACAGCATAACTAGATCCCAATTTCCTCCCCAGAAATTTATCAATTTCATATGAATTGGAAAGTGAAATTAACGTTAAATATAAAGAAAAAAAATATATGTATTAGAAAAGAGTGAGTGCACTTAAAACACACTCTTAACTTATATGGAGCTATTTGTGTATATATTGATTAGCGAATGTTGTGGTTGACATCATAGGCAATTAATTAGGTCTGTGATTCCCACTAGCTATTTAACATGAATCTTATGGCATCCACTTAAGTTGGTATATATGAGGGTCCAGTAGTAGCCCAGACAAAAAGCAGTGCACTAAGACGCATGCAAGGATGCCACAGTAATTAACTAATTCACCAAAAACAATATTTTTTTTTGTTGGGTCGATCGTGACCTTTGTAAATAAAAGCTAAAATATGTTTTGCTTGAGACAAACATATTGTTCAGTGTTGGATTTTCGAGTCAATATTTATGTACGTACGTTCAACAACATTCCTCTGCATACTTATCCATCGCAAACACGTGTTCGTTTTAGAGTCATCTTAACTAACACGTTTTATAATTCCAACTTCCAAGAGGATCAAGTTTAGGACTTTGCTACGGTGACATGCATGTCACGGTGACATGCACTTTTCGGTCGACCTCATATAGGATCAGGTCGACCTAATCAGTTGTTTTAGTGTACAAACAGTTTCATGGTGCCTACTTTGGAGATTCATATCTTACAATTGGCTAGATGGAAATTGGAGATTAAAGGCTTGTTTTGAAGCTGAAGTGTCCCTCTACACATTAAAGTACTTGGGAGCTCAATAGAAAGTCTAGAAGACCATTTTTGAACCTGACCAAAAGGCTATGCCAAAACTGGGAAACTGCCTGAAAATGGCTAAGTCTGGCAACGTGTTTGTCAAGCCTACTTTGGAGCTCAATTTGACAAGTATGGATGCGAGTCAAGTCCAGGGGAATTTACCACGTTAAATTATGTGTTTTTTTATACAAAGGCAAGGCATTGAATGAAAGATTGAATATCTTTAAGGCTTCAAACAAAATGCTCGAAGTTGCTACGAAGGCTGTTTTTCTGGCAGCTTGCTTGTGCTCGAAGTCTGCCAGAAAAACAGCCTTCGTAGCAACTTCGACCCTTTTGTTTGAAGCCTTAAAGATATCCAATCTTTCATCCAATTCCTTGAATTTGTATAAAAACATACCTAATTTAACGTGGTAGAGGCTCCTGGACTCGACTCGCATTCATGCTTATCGAATTGAGCTCAAAAATAGGCTTCACAAACACGTTTCCAGACTTAGTCATTTCTAGGCAGTTTCCCAGTTTTGGCATAGCCTTTTGATGAGGTTCAAAAATGGTCTTCTGAACTTCCTATCGAGCTCTCAATCACTTCAATATGTAGAGGACACTCCAGCTTCAAAACAAGTCATTAGTCTTCAATTTCCATCTAGCCAATTGTATGATATGAATATCCAAAGTAGGCACCATGAACTGTTTTTACACTGAAACAACATATTAGGTCGACCGGATCCTATATGAGGTCGACCGAATCCTAAATGAGGTCGACCGGATCCTATATGAGGTCGACCGAATTCTATGTGAGGTCGACCTAATCCTAACTGAGGTCGACCGGAAAGTGCAAGTCACCGTGACATGCATGTCACCCTAGGCACACCCTCAAGTTTATGATCTCACAATGTATTTTTATTTATTTATTTATAAGATCTTGCAGTATCACATGCAACATTTTTTTTCTTCTTCATTGTCGTAAGCCATCGCGGTCGGTGACGAAACTAACTGTATTTTGAGATTATAATGTGTGTATTATTATATTTTGACAATATGATATAGTATATTTTAGGTACCGTTAATGAAATATTTGTATCTATTAAGTCGAGTTTGGAATATGATATTGTACGCTGACCTTTAACAAATAAATCGCAGGATTCGATTTTCTAAATCCAAACCTAATGTTTAATTCAATAGAAACAAATAATTGACAGTTCAAATTGGTTATAACTCATTGAAATAAATTTAACGGACAGATACCACGAAATACACCATCCTCTTGGAGTATAGTATTCTTCATTGTTGATATATATATTACAAAGATCCAGTATTTTCATTTACAAATTTTTCTGTTGATTCTATTATTACAATGTTTCCATACTATTTGCATGTTTTGAGATTACAATGTGTCCAGTTGTATTTTGACGATATGATATGTGTATTCATTTGAAATTTACAAACGTTTATTTTGAGCCTTTGTTTTTTTATTCTAAAAATCCTAAATGTCTTACAAATCGTCCGATACTTAATTAATTGCAGGTGAAGAAAAACTGCAAGCTGGCGGCTGAAAATGCTTCCGAGAGGCTGAAATTATACGTGAAAGCGTCTTGCGCCGATGATAAGGCTTCAGCCTCTGCCTCCCTCACCAGAGCCAAAGCTTTGGCTTCTGATGCACCCAAATTCCTCCAAAAGATTAGGCTCCACCAGGTAATTAATTAATTAATCGATTAATCAATCCATATCATCATAAATTAAATTAATCCATTGAGCATCCATAAATTTTGTCTCAACGCCCTTTATCATTACCTATGAACAGGAAAGCATGAGATGGGAAACTTTTCCTTTGATCCTGCTCCGGCAGAGTCCTCCGCCGAGCCCCGTACCCAAGTTGCAGGAAGTTGAGATGCTTCTAAGAGGAATGGAAATGGGTTTAGTAGCTGACACTACTACTAATAGCAGCTCCTCGATGTTCACCGACGGAGAATCCAAACAAAGCTTGTTGCAGTTACAAGAACACATCACTCGAGCTATCAAGCAGGTGGCCAGAACGAATTCCTTCCATTCCGATTCTTCTCCCACCGTCCCCGAATCGAATGCCGATGATGTCACGAGCTCGCTTGAGAAGATAACCAGAACAATCCCAACCAGCCCTGCCGATCTGCCATCATTTTTCTTCTGTCAATGTATCAAACACCTTGTCTGCATATCTTCACCCGAAGCAAAATCGGTCGCCGTCGAACAACCAAAGGAAGGGTCAAGTACTCCTCCATCGAAGGGAAATGGGTTCTTGTTGAATGCTTGGAAGAGTGTGAGCTTCGGCAGCAAGAACAGAGTTTTGCCGGCGGTCAAATGCTCTGTTTCTCTAGGCATGGCTGTCCTGTTTGGGTTGATGTACAGCAAGGAGAACGGGTACTGGTCGGGTCTCCCCGTGGCGATCAGCTTGGCCGCCACCGTCAGAGAAGCGACGTTCACTGTCGCAAATGTCAAGGCGCAGGGCACCGTGTTGGGGACTGTCTATGGCGTCGTGGGTTGCTTCGTCTTCGAACGGTTTTTACCTGTCAGGTTTATGTCTCTGCTTCCGTGGTTCGTCATCACCAGCTTCCTCCGCAGGAATCGGATGTACGGCCAGGCGGGTGGGATCTCCGCCGTCATCGGAGCGATACTCATACTGGGTCGGAAAAACTTCGGCCCCCCGAGCGAATTTGCGATCGCGAGAATCATCGAGACCTTCATCGGGCTATCCTGTTCGATTTTCGTGGATCTTCTGCTCCACCCTACTAGAGCCGCTTCTTTGGCTAAACTTTCGCTCTCTGAAAGTTTTGCCGCATTGGGTTCGGCCGTTGACCTCTTAAGCCTCCGCGGCGACGCATCCACGGCATTGTTGGAGAGCCACAAGAGGTTGAAATCTGAGGTGGAAGAGCTGAGGAAACTAGTTGGGGAAGCTGAATTGGAACCAAACTTCTGGTTTTTGCCCTTCCCCAGTGCTTGTTATGGCAAGCTGCTTGTGTCATTGTCGAATATGGCGGATCTATTGCTCTTCAGTGCCAAATTAGGGGTTGGATTCGTCGAATCAGAATCGCTCAGGCTCGGAGATTCTGATGGGGTGGAAAATACTCGAAACGGTGTTGTGGCTAACCTAGATGTCGACCTTAAATTCTTCAAAGATGCGATGAGTCCGTTTGTAAAATGTTTCGAGGAGGTCACCAAATTGAAGTGTTCCATTGCAATGCTTGACGAGGACTTGAAGAGAAAGAACGAGGAAATCGGGTGTGATTTGGAATCAGGAAAGCTACCGAATCAAAATGCATTTAAGGTGATGGATGCAAGTCGGGAAAATGAGACAAGGAACATTGTGGATTGCTATCTGGGGCATGTGAAAGAGATTGTGGAGAAGTTTAACAACGTGGGAAATGAAGAAGGAAATGGGAGGGAATTGGCAATGTTTGGATTGGGGGTGATTGGTTTTAGCATTAGTGGTTTGATAAGAGAGGCGAGAGAGGTTGAGAGATGTGTTACTGAACTTGTGCAGTTGGAGAATCCTTCTTGCCAAGTGAATTTGTTTGAGATTTACTGTAAGATTAATGCATCACAAAAGTTGAATTGAGTAAGTTGAAAATTTGATACTTACTAATACAAAAGAGGAGGAAAGACGCATTACACAAGAACTTGGTGCCTTACTAATAGAAAAGAGGGGGAAAGACGTATTACACAAGAATTTGGTGCCTCTCAATGTTATGCTTTAGTCCTTAAACTCAAAACATCATTCATCCAATTATATTGATTTGATGCCCTTTAAAAGGTTAGGGACAAAAAACAAAGTTAGCACCCGACTAAAACTTTAACAAATATAATTTTGTGGCTGCTGGGATTCGAGCCCAGGTCATCACGGCCACAACGTGATATTCTAACCACTAAACTACAGCCACAATTGATTTATGGTCAAAGCTCCGAAAGGGGAACAATGTAGCACATTCTTAAGCCCACCCTGCCTTATGGAATCAATCATATGTATGGTTTGATAGTCTACCTTCTTCTTTGTGACTCATTGTGCTGCCCAAACTTGTTAACTTTGCAAGAGTTAGGGTCTTTTTAGCAAGAGAACTTAGTTCTATTTTAGTGATCATGGTGGTTTAATCATTGTCATACTCGTATCGTGATTAAAGTCGTGTTGGTTTCATATTGATACATGAGGTGAATCAGATTATTCAAGAGTAGCAATAATTGTGCGAGTAGCATACGGTAGTGCGCCTAAAGAATTTTTGTAATATAAGTGCTTGTGAAATTAGACCGTTCAAGTGGGAGATTGTTAGGAATTTCATTTCCTAACTTGAGTAGACTACCAAATTCACAACATATATATTAGCTATTTGGTTTTGATGGGCTAACACAAGTGGTCAATACATACATGGAGCTCATAATTACTCAAACTTAACATGGTTCCAATGAATGGAAACCCAATACTTACTCACATTCAATTTTATGGGAGCCCATGGTGATTATTATATAAAAGAGTTTGAGGTTGTGGTCAGCCAGCACACCAAGTCAAAACATACTCTCTGCTTCTCTCCATCAGGAGGATAAGAGAACTCATGGAAGATGAACCGAGGAGGCTTGGTTAAGGAAAGTCACAGAACCTCCCTAGTCGTGTTGTTGCTAGTATCGTCCGGTCATAATCGTCCTACAATTTCCGCATAAAATCAAGATGATTTACAACACGAATTCAGGTATTTCTATCCACCTTTGATATCTAAAAAGATGATTCTAGTGAATTGCAAATGGCAAATTCAATTTCTAAAAAGTAATACTTCATAAAATAAGTGTAGCTCCAATCAAGTGAATAACATAATAGGTTAATATGAATAGCGTACACATAAAATGTGAAAATAACATTACAACTAAATAATTAAATATTCTAAAAACAACCAAATTTATCACCATCACTCACAGTAGAATCAAGCAAAACTGAGAACTAAATGTTAAGCATATTTGCCAAAACCCAGATAAAAACTCTCATGTCCACCTAAAACTTTAGAATAATTATTGATCATTTTTACAATCGACAAAATTCTAGAAATACCAACATCAAACAAACCACAAGTCCCTTCTTTGCTTCCTAGCTTATTAGGGTTTAATTTTACGTCTTGGTATGAATCATCCTCCAATAATATAGTAGATTTTTGTGTACTTTTTTCATTTCAAATTTCCTGTAATGAGCGTGAAAACAGGAAGGACAGTTTGGTCTTTACAATTAATTATTTATTTCATATAAAAAAACTTAATATTAGGATTTGCATTCGGGTCTCTTTGAACAAATACAACAATCACAACCAATTACACACAACAAATTGGTTGTATCTTTTTTAATACAAAACATACACGTGTCTAATTATGAAAATTTGAGGACTTTCCCATCATGATTTGCAAACCCACTAAGTCTGCCGTATATATTTTTCAATTTAAATATAAATTTTTTGGTTTTTTTTTATCTTTGTTCTTATCTCTTTCTAACTTCCTCCGAAATTTCATACATCGTGCAATATTTTGCGCCCCTTTCACTTCTCAATACAAGGCCGTCTTTGAAAATCAATCTTCCGGTATCTCTTGGCACGACGATTTTATTGTTGGGGATTTAAACTAGGCAAGTAGAAGATTTCAACTCTGATATCAATCCATGGTAAATAGAATGGAGTTCAATAAATGAAGTTGCAGAAGGTGTATTAGAAATTGAATTTTTGGTTGAAACATATGCCTCTTGAGAATGAAGATAGAGTGGATAAACATTTGGTTGTACAGCAGAAAGTGGTGGCTATTGGATCTTTAGGTTTATGGTTTTTGTAGCTATCACAACCTATTTATATCTTAAAACGAGGAATCATTGATTGATTTACTGAAGTAGGTCGATTCTTTATTCAACCTACTCGGACTGGTAGATAAAGAGTGTCTAATTTTGTGCATTATTAGTTTGATCGAGTCTATTAGTATATTGGAGGTAACCTTAATTTTGTCATTTGCTCTCAAGTTTTGATGGTCCACTCTTAGCTGAGTTGTTAGTATATAGTTCACTTGAATCAACAACTCTCGATTTCGTTTCGATTAGTGACAGATTTTTCTGAGAGGAGAGCATTGAACCCTTTTGTAGGATTTGTGTGGTTTAATAAGATTTAGTTTCGAACTATCTATTGGTCGTGCGGGAATTCTATTGAGCTTTTATATTCTATCTTTATTGACAATCAACTAACCAATAGCATTTTAACAGGGGCTTAATTTTCACTATATGAAAATGGGATCAATGATACATTTTTATATTTCATATTCTTAAACGATTGCGATATTTTTCCGACTGTTCGATACATATATTCTTTCTTTATGTATCATTTCGGTCGTAGGATTGTCAATAAAATATGAACATTCCGACCAACGGGGCGGGTTATATTGTAATAACGATTGCATCTTATTTTTATTTGATTTTCTCTACCTCCCAATTTCGTTCCAACTTTGACAAGTACTATCACCTGATTCGCCTTCCTCATCAGTGAAACAAGGCCCAGTTTCCTTGATCAGCCAACGACATATTGTACACCTATCTTCATCCCTGACCTGATCGTACACGTCAAACCAGTGAACTTCTCCCGCCGCGCCCCATTCCACGGAGCAATAGAACAGTGTGTTTCCGAAAAAGCTTGGTCGGAACCGCCACCGGAAGTCCTGGTGTGGCTTAAGCATTCGGATGCCAAGATCGTCGTCTTTCGACCTGCAGTGGAGCCTGAGTTCCTGCCCTCCTCCAAGATCATTAGTCACCACCACGCTTGTTAATCCATACCTTGGAATGCATAAGGCTGGTGTGGATAATAATAAGAGGAACGACACCGTTACCACTAAGATAGTGTTGTTCTGCCTCATCATCGATGATTAGGGTTTCTTTTCTTGTTAAATAATCGATGAAGATATGCCAGTGGTTCTGTGTTTTTATATGAGAAGATGAATGGATAGAAGGTTTATATTTAGAAACTTTCGGCCACAATAACTGCATGTCAAGTCTACTAGATAATATGCATGAAAAGCGGTGATATGAATAGAAGATACTCATTGTTGGGATTTTGAATAGGGGTGTTGAAATGGTTACGGGCAATTATCAAATTAATTAAGACTAAATTCTATTAATTATGGGCAATTGGTTAACCAGGTTAACCGATATAACATAACATTATAAGTACGCGAGAAAGAAAAATCTTGTTAATGCATCAATTCTTGATAACATAACAATCAATACATAGTTAGCCCTTACATGCAACTAATACAATTATCTTATAGCCATTAGAAGTATTTACCTAACTAAAATACATGCGGATTGTATGATGTTCATGAATTGGGTGTGCCTGCGTGAATTGTCGTATTCTGTTAAGCACAGCCTCCCATCTTATTTTTAATTTAATTATATTAAACAAATTATTTGCAATGATTGTGAAATTGTATAAGCATTTGTATCGGAAAAAATTGTCAAAAAAATATTTTGTCCGGAAACCATAATCTAATACCAGTTCAACTATTTTATATCGGTAGTCTATTAGCTCCTGTATGAGTTTTCTTCAATACAAGCATATGATTTCACACCAATTATTTATCAGAGACGCTAAGAGGATATATTATTGGACACCTTCTTAGTATCTTTCGCTGCACAAAACTTAAAAAGAATAAGACCCTAATCACAAACGCTGAAACATAAAGTCTCCCATTTACTCGCTAGCCTAAAAACAGAACTACATCCAGCGTCCAACGTGTTCGACTAACATTACCTCAGTCGCAAAAATCCCAGATTCACACACAAGAGTTGCCTAGGTATAAAAAAACATTGGAACTTGTAAGCAAGACGACCACATTCAAGACGAAAGTTGCACCATTTGATGCATCATACTAATCCGAAGAACTGTTCCAGCGACGAAGAGCTGACAACGTTTCTAGGTGACTGTTCGAGCTTTGTTGGAGAGACATGGAGCCCATAATTGATAAACCTCTGCAAAATGAGAAACAAATGAACACAGAAAGCAAGGCAATAGAAACATGTCAGTCAATTATATGTTCAAATTGTCCGTGGAAATATGAGAAGTTGAGAACATTACAGCTAATTCAGCAACAATTTCAGCATTGCTGTCAATATGCCAGTTTGGCTCTCGTTGCCGAACAAAAGATGTGAAGCTAGTTTCTGCGCTGCAAAAGTGAACCTGCAAGGGGCACAGCAAGCAGTTCAATAGATGCGAGAATAACAAACGTAAAATGGACGAGGGAGAAAACTACTGATATGAAATCCTTCAATCCTTCTATCAGCAAATATATCATAAATCAAGTCTTTAAAGCTTTTCTCTAGAAAATTACTTACATGGAGAGATACTTTTCCAGTTCGGTTAAATCATAGCAATATCAGAAGAGCTATTCATTACCTTGTCTTTGACCAAACCACCAGACCTGAAAGCTCCCGCATTCCCCAAAGCAGCAAGTACTTTTTGCTGCAGCAAGAGCGCGAAAGAGGCAAAATTACTTCTCAAGGAAGAAAAGAGGCCCAGCAGAAATCCAAGATTCATTCAACTAGCTAGCAATCTTCTTTGCATAATTGTATCAATAGAGGATGGAATAACAAATGATACAAGTTACAGAATATCGACTTACTTCACTTTCCTCGTCTAAAACTTCTTCCACAAGATAAAGATCACAAATTTGAGTGATCTTTGACAATACTTCCAGAACAGAGGATCTCACAGTCGCTTGGTTCTGTTCATAAGAAATTAATCAAGTTATTAGTTTGACTCAACATATGTTAACAAATGCTAAACATAAAAGGTCAGTAGATTGCCTTGAGCTCTTGTGGTGTGTTTTCTTCCAGGATCACCCCAAGCAAACGACAAGTGACCTACAAAGAAGGAGGACGACAAAGCAATATGTCCTCAGAGCTGGCATTCTAGATGAAAAGAAGGCACTTCCTCCTCAACAACAAGAGAACTAAAACTTTAGAACATCAACAAGTAATGTGTAGATATATCCAGCTTGAACTCCAATAATGTCAGAATCACTACCTTTTTGCCTCTCAGCTTTCGCCTCACTGCTTGCCCCAAAGTTTGCTGAAGGAAATAGAGCACTATGAGGACATGAAGTCTGTGAATATTCTGAATAAAGCAAAAGATAGAAAACCAACGGTGGTTACATTAAAAGACTGGAAGAACTCAAGTCCATTGTTCTGTGCTCTCAATGCCTCTGAAAGTGAAAGCAAACGAGCTGTAGAAGGGAATGGTGATTTCACTTCCACAGAATAATTTATAGTTGCAGGTTGCGGTATGCTTCTCTTGGGTCTACTACGTGACCTCAAAAATCTCCACGAGAAAACGACTGCTGCAAGACCCACTATGGCCCCAACAGACCAAGAACCCTGACAATATGTGTAAACATGGTGAGAATCAGCGATAACTTCATGGTTTCTCCTTTCACTCACTCCTGAATACAAACTAGACCTCACTCTTCACCATCAAATCAGAAGACATGCAAAACTAAAGTAAGAAAATCAAACAAGTTGGGTAAGCTAATAGCAATTTCTGATGCCACTAACCCTTCTATGGAAAAGCTAATTGCTACCACTCCATGAGTCGAGATTTGAACTGAAGCATACAACTATAAAGACAATTACCAACAAAACCTCATCAATCGATTGTTAATTCCATTGCTTGACAAACCAACAAACAAAACTCGGCTCCGGCAGAGGTAACAGAGTTTTCGAAATTTCAACTTTCACAAGCTTGATCGGGATGAATCCATCCCGCAAGAGACCGGCTTGCTTCAGCGGCAGTCCCTGACTATTTCGGAACCAAATGACTAAAAAACCCAAAAGAACTGAACAAAGCAACAACAGGTCACGCATCCGCTGAATAGGGTACGGGATCCAAGAAAGCACAACCCCTTCAGAAATCAATAGCAAGATCAATGGAATTGTCCAATCCATGTAAGGAAAACGAAAAAGGAGTAGGAATCGGGTATCTACCAGATTACGGGGTGATATTGAGTTGAAAATCGACATTCTCAAATAAGCTTCAACCGCTTGATGAGCCGAAGAGCCCGCCGTTAGATGACTTCGCCTTGTCCACCTTGATCTCTTCTGGAAAGATGGAAGAGACGAAAACCCTAGGCTTCCTATTAATGATCACTGAACACAAACTATCAAGACAATGTATAACATATGTAATTGGAAAAAGGGAAAAAAAAATTCTCTCGAGCTTCGTCTGATTGGGAAGATTGAGTGCTCAAGTATTGCTATTGCTATTCGGATTGGGAGATCATCCTAAGGGGAGTTGAGAATCTAGGAAAAGAGTTCCGTGATAAAGAAGATTCCTTTGATGTGTGTTTTGGGCTTTCGGTGGAGTCTTGTGCTCATAGGGTTTTGGTTTATAAGGGCGGTACGACTAATTCTCTTTGCAACATCAAAACTCTCCCGGTAGAAATCGTAAAATTAATTTATTTTATTAACTGGAATGAAGTGAGGATTTTGGAAATCGAGTTGAATAGGAAATGGGAGGCCGAGGAAGTTTATTGACAGCAAAAATCGAGGGTTCATTGGCTAAAGAAGGGTGATAAAAACACATCATATTTCCATACGGTTACGCAAGCTAGCATGAAACGGAATTTTGTGTCTGGTCTTCGTCATAATAGCGGGGAGTGGGTCACTGAAGAGAGAGAGGAAAGGCGTACATTGCCATTGATTTTTTTATCAGACTCTCCCAACCCCTAAGACTAGCTCCAACCCATGGTGTCAAAATGCTATAAACTCATATTTGGCTTTTTTTCTTCCTCCAACCCACAAAAAAATGGGAAGCAAAAAATGGGTATTGGGTTTTTGGAAGGGATATTTGGCTGGGTTTTGGGGTGGGGAGGGAAATTTGGCTGCCAAAAAGGGGCCAGCATGTCAGCTGGCGGAGAAGGGCGCAGGACGGGCGCCTGGGGCGCACGTGCGCGGGGGAAGGTCCCTTCTCCGCCAGCTGACGTGCTGTGCTTTTTTTTTTCTTTCAACTTTGTTGGTTGGGAATTTGTTTTGGCAATTTATTTTGGATTTTTTTTTCTCTATTCTCATTGGTTGTTTGTGATTCAATTTGAAATATAAATTTGAAATAATTGATGTAGTGACGAAAAAACGGTCATATTTTAACGGCCATCAAAAACGGTCATATTTTAACGGCCATATTTTTTCTTATATATTACAGCACCCTTCATAGATTTCTCTTCACTCATTCTCAAAGCATAAATCGCATTCTCTCAAAATTCAATTGTTATCGTCTCTCAAAATAGAAATATGACAGGCAAAAGAGGACCTAATTGGCGTCCGAATGAAGATGAAATCTTGTGCAGAGCTTGGGTGTCGATATCAGAAGATGGAGCGGTTGGCACCAACTAGAAGTCTACAAGGTTGTGGGACAGAGTGGCGGCAGAACATCAAAAATGGGATCCTACTACAACTCGTATTGCTATTGCAATGAAATCCCGAATGAGGATTATTTGCTATCACTGCAATGCTTGGAAGGGAGTTTTGCAAAGAGCACAAAGGCATCAACCGAGTGGCACGAACCAGTTTGATGTGGTATTCTTTTGGACCCTCAACTTGTGTATTTTCTTATTTTTTATGTGTCAATAAAAACTTCTCTAACCCATGTACTAATTATTTTATTAGGAAAAGGAGGCAAGGGCAATATATAAGCAAGAGAATGGGAACAAGGCTTTTGATTTTGAGCATTGTTTCGACATTCTTCGAAATTGTCCAAAATGGTACTGCAATCCTGACCTGCTTGTTAGTCCCATTCCACCTATGGGGCAAGGTTCCCAAAGTTCAACCACAGGTTTTGGTTCTCAATCATCTCCCATGGAAGGCCTTGATGACTTACCAGATGAAGGAGCTACGCCTTTCGTGTTGACTCGCCCTGAAGGACGCGACAAACAAAAGGAAGCAAAGAAGAAAGGTAAGGTAGTTACTGAATCGTCAGACATATACACTACTCAATTGCTAGAGTTTGGTAATGATATGAGAGAGAGGCAAAAGTCGAGGATGGAGTACGAAAACAGAAAAATGAATGTTCAAGAGAGGAGACTAGAGCAGGAGAAAGAGGAATGGGCATACAAGAGGCAAGTGAGGGAGCATGAAGCGGAAAAGTGGGCTGTGGAGAAGAAAGAGAGGGAAGATGCAATACTTCAACAAAATGTAGCTATTCTGGAGAAGGATTTGTCCAAGATGACACCAAGAAAGAAGAGATTTTGGAGGCGTAAACAAAATGACATTTATGGTTACGATCAAGACGATCCCAACTCTTATCCAAGTGATGGCGGAGATGGAGATGGCGATGCAAGTGGTGGAGGAGATGGCGATGCAAGTGGTGGAGGAGATGGCGATGAAAGTGGTGGAGGAGATGGCGATTACTTTCCTGCCATGGATTATTAATTAGAAGAAGATCCTATTTGTACTCTTTCAACTTTGTTATTTTCATGTGTCATGTGTACTCTTTGAACTTTGAGCAATTCCATGTGTAATAAAAACAAGTGTTATTGAAAGTTTGAAATACAATCACACACTGAAACTTGAAATACAAACAACCAAGCAACATGAAGTAAAACAATGCTAGATATTGCCGTGCAAATTCCAAAGATGCTCAACCAAGTCATTTCTAAGCGCATGATGTGTTGTAGATGAGCGAAGCCTGTTATTTCTAGCCAAGTAATCAATTAGAGTTGATTGGTGTCGGTTGATTGGTTCAGGTTGTGCATGGACCTCATAATCAAGGTCATCATCCATCTCGTCATCAGAATCAACTTGCTCATCCTCGATTATCATGTTGTGTAATATAATGCACGTCAGCATTATATTGTTAAGCGTGACAACATCCCAAGCTCTTGCAGGGCCACGAACAATTGCCCATCTTGTTTGGAGGATTCCAAATGCCCGCTCTACATCTTTGCGGTGTGCTTCTTGATGTTGAGCAAACAAAGCCTCTTTGTTTGACCTTGGATTGCTGAAGGTCTTCACTAAAGTCGACCATGAGGGATAAATACCGTCATCCAAATAATAACATTGATCATAAGCATTACCATTTACCTCAAATCGTACATGTGGAGCGCTTCCATTGATGATACGATCAAACACTGGAGACATCCCCAGAATATTTATATCGTTGTTCGATCCAGGTGTCCCAAAGAAAGCATGCCATATCCATGTGTTGTAGGAGGCCACCGCCTCCAGAATGATTGTTGGCTTATGCATGTGGCCGGTGTATTGTCCTGCCCAACCACTTGGACAATTCCTCCATTCCCAATGCATGCAGTCAATTGATCCAATCATTCCAAGAAAGCCACGACTTGAGGCTTTACGGAGTAAGATCCTTAAATCAGCAGGAGTAGGTGCGCGAAGGTATGTGGCCCCGTACATGTTGATAATTTTGTTGCAAAACTTTCTGAAGACCTCCATCAAGGTGCTCTCACCCATACGAACATACTCATCAAGTTGATCAGCAGGAGAACCATATGCTAGCATGCGCATCGCACCAGTAAGCTTCTGCTCTGGAGATAGTGACAATTGACAAAAGCTATCACGCCTTAGAGCAAATGAGGGGTCAAACCTCACAATGTCGCCCATAATGCGATGGAATAATCTTGGCTGCATCCGATAGCGCCTTCTGAATATGCGAGCATTGTATACTGGATTTGGATCGAAGTAATCCCTCATAAGACGTCGATTACATTCGACCCTCTCACGATCAATGTGACGTCGGCTTGTAGTTTGACAGCGACTTGATGCACCTTCAGCCAGCCTCCGACCGATCAAATTCAAACGTAGGTGGTGAAACCTTTCGTACTCTTCGTTTTCTTCTTCTCTAGACGATGAGCTATTTGAGATACTCATGATGAATGTGTTTGTTTTAGAAATGGGAAGAAGTTTTAGTTGAGTTGATGAAAATGAAGAACTGTCATTTATAAAGACATTTGGTGCAAAAAATGACAAAAAAAACGGTCGTAAGGTAATGGATACAAAAAAAACGGTCATATTTGGAGTGGTCCCGAAGTTTTAACGGTAATATTTTAACGACTAATTTTTGGGGGAAAAAATTACATAGAAAAATTTGTATTCAAAACTAATAACGAGCTATGAAAAATTAAAGTGAAATATAAAAATTAGAGGTCAAATAAGTATGGTTTATTGAAATAAATTGAAAAAGGGAAATGGGAAGCTAAATTTAGCTTTCTATAGGGTTGGAGTGAAAATTGGGTTTGGGGAGCTAAAAAACCATATTTGGCCATTTGGGGAGCTAAAATTCCCCTTTATGGGTTGGAGTTAGTCTAAGAAAACCAGGCGTTGAACATGGACGAGCGGGTGGCCGATCTCCCAATATCCCATCGAGTAACAGGGGAAATGAATGTCGGTCTTACGTCAGCAGTCCTGCCTAGTGAGGTTCAGAAAATGGTCTTCTGTATGGGATCGAAACAGGCTCGAGGATCTGATGGTTTCACGGGGAAGTTTTTCAAAGCGTTTTGGGATATTGTCGGCGATTCTATAATTGAAATTGTTTGCTCGTTCTTTATCACGAGCAGGATTCTCCGTAGTTCTAATCATAGTTGGCTGACACAGATCTCTAAGGTGGACAATGTCGAGACCATGAGGCAAATCAGACCAATTAGCTTATACCAATTTGTGTATAAAGTTATAACTAAAATCATGTTGAAAAGTTGACCTGCCTCTTACCCCAAATCATTTCGGAAAGTCAAAATGCCTTCATCCTTGAAAGGCAAATAGTAGAGAATGTCCTCCTAGGGCATGAGTTAAAGCATTACTTGAAAATCAAAACGCAAGGTAAGAAAGGGTACATGGCTCTGAAGGTTGACATGGAAAAGGCATATGATAGAGTCGAACGGCATTTTCTCCTTACATTTTTGGACAAGATGGGTTTCAACTCTATTTGGAGAGGCTGGATACAGGAATGCCTCCGATCAACGATGTTTTTGGTCCTTATGAATGGAACTCCTTCGGGGATCTTCACACCCTCAAGGGGACTCCAACAGGGGGATCTGCAATCTCCGCTCCTGTTTGTGCTTTGCACGGAAGGGTTTGCGACTCTCCTTTGGAAAGTCATTTCTGAAGGGAAACTTAAAGGGGTTAAAGTTGCCTCTAGAGCTCCTCGGCTCTGATATATGTTCTTTGCAGATGACACTTATTTATTCCTCAGAGGATCTCTACAGGAATGTGAGAATTTGATCAAGGTTTTAAATGAATATGAGGAACTTAGTGGCCAAAGAGTTAACTTGCTAAATCGGCAGTTTACTTTAGCAAAAATATCGCCATGCCGGACCAAGATTTCTTGGCTCAAATTCTGGGTGTCGGGGTTGTAGGGGTCCGAGATAAATATTTGGGGTTGCCTACACTGATAGCCAATCG